CCTCCACCTAATAAGTCACAAGTAAACATGGTGACTTCAAGTCCAGCTGAGGCTGCTTTCAGGTCTGTTCTCTTCACTCCTGAAGTAAACATGACCTTTCAAGCAAATGATTGGTGGATTGACACTGGAGCTAATATTCACGTTTGCTCTAATCAATCTTTGTTTTCCACCTATCAGGTCTCAAGTAGAGGAACTGTGACAATGGGAAATAATAATGTGGCTCCTGTATCCGGAATAGGTCGGATCAACCTAAAGCTGACTTCTGATAAGACTTTGATCCTGCAGGATGTCCATCATGTACCAGACATTAGGAGAAACTTAATTAGTGGATCTTTGTTAGTGCAACAAGGCTATAAGCTTGTTTTTGAATCAAATAAAGTTGTAATAACTAAGGGTTTGAACTTCATTGGAAAAGGTTTCTTATGTGATGGTCTTTTTAAATTGAATGTTAAGAATTCTACTCTTGCATCTCCAATAGCTTTGAATATTGAACCTTCCATCACTTGGCATCAAAGATTAGGACATGTGAATTATAATTCAATTAAAAGATTGATGCATCTCAATATAATTCCAAAGCTTAATATAAAAGATGATGAAAAATGTGAAATATGTGTAGAAGCCAAACTTCCTAAGAAACCATTTAAAACTATTGATAGAGATTCTGAGATATTAGAACTCATCCATAGTGATGTTTGTGATTCAGGAAGAACAACTAGAGGGGGTAACAAATATTTTGTAACTTTTATAGACGATTGCTCTAAATATTGTTACCTCTACTTAATTAAGACTAAAGATGAAGTCATAAACAAATTCAAAATATACAAAGCAGAAGTTGAGAATCAGTTGGATAGGAAAATTAAAATACTAAGATCAGATAGAGGTGGTGAGTACACTTCTAATGAATTAAAACAATTCTGTGAAGAGAATGGAATTATTCATGAAATAACAGCTCCATATACACCTCAATCTAATGGAGTAGCTGAGAGAAAGAATAGAACACTAATGGACATGGTAAACTCAATGTTAATTAATTCTGGTGTGCCAGAAAATTTATGGGGAGAAGCTCTCATGACTGCATGTCATATACTAAATAGAATTCCATTCAAGAAATCTGATAAAACCCCTTACACAATTTGGAAGAATAGAAACCCTAATTTAGATCACCTAAAAGTGTGGGGGTGCTTAGCAAAAGTCAAAATACCTGAGAATAAAAGAAAGAAGATTGGCCCTAAAACTGTAGATGGAATTTTTATTGGCTATGCTTCTGATAGTAATGCAAATAGATTTTTAATAATCAACTCTGACATTAATGAGATAGCCAACAACACCATAATTGAAGCTAGGGATGCACATTACTTTGAAAATATTTTTCCTTACAAGACCAGAATAAACAACACAGGCCCTAGCTCTAATAATTCAGATCCTAGTTCTAATCAAGGTGAAACTAGTTCTAAACAAATTAGACCACTAGAAAGTCCAGAGGAGCCTAGGAGAAGTAAAAGAACTAGAATAGAAAAGGTCCATGAAGATTTCTATGCATTACTTGTAGAAGATTCTCCAGTTACATTTGAAGATGCAATGAAATCAGTAGATGCTCCATTTTGGAAGGAAGCTATAAATAATGAGATACAATCTATAGTTCAAAATCATACTTGGGAACTAACTGATCTTCCTTCAGGATGTAAAACCATAGGATGTAAATGGGTGTTTAAGAAGAAACTTAGACCTGATGGAACAATAGATAAATATAAAGCCAGATTAGTAGCTAAAGGATATACCCAAAAGTCTGGTATTGATTATTTTGATGTCTATTCTCCAGTAGCTAGGATTACTACCATTAGAGTCCTCATAGCTCTAGCATCCATTCACAAATTAATAATACATCAAATGGATGTTAAAACTGCATTTTTAAATGGAGACTTAGATGAAGAAATTTATATGGATCAACCTGAGGGATTTATAGCTTCTGGACAAGAAAAGAAAGTATGCAAGCTTATTAGATCACTATATGGTCTCAAACAAGCCCCAAAACAATGGCATATGAAATTTGATGAAATTATACTATCTTATGGATTTGTAATTAATCAAACAGATGAGTGTGTATATCATAAAATAGATAAAAACAACAAAATTGTGATATTATGCCTATATGTTGATGACATTCTTATTTTTGGTTCTGACATACAAATCATAAATGATATCAAACACTTTTTATCACAAAATTTTGACATGAAAGATTTAGGTCAAGCTGACCTAATTCTTAATACTAAAATCATGAAAAATGAGAATGGATATGTGCTATCACAATCACACTACATAGAGAAAATCCTTAAGAATTTTTATGATCCAAACTGTCAACCTGTTTCCACTCCATATGATCCTAATGTACATCTAAAGAAAAATACAGGTCATCCTCAATTACAAAGAGAATATGCACAAATAATTGGATCACTAGGATTCCTAACAAACTACACCAGACCTGACATTGCTTATGCAGTAAATAGACTTAGTAGATATACATCAAATCCTGATAAGAGTCACTGGGATGCTCTAGAAAGAGTTTTGAGATACCTAAAAGGAACTATGAATTATGGTTTACACTATAAAGGTTATCCATCTGTACTAGAAGGTTATTCAGATGCAAATTGGATTAGTGACTCAGTAGATGTAAAATCCACCACAGGATTTGTGTTCCTTTTAGGAGGAGGAGCTGTGTCCTGGAAATCTACTAAACAAACTGTAATGGCTAGAAGTACAATGGAATCAGAAATGATAGCTCTTGATACTACTAGTATAGAAGCTGAATGGTTGAAAGATTTACTAACTGAAATTCCACTAATGCAAAAACCATTACCAGCCATTTCTATTCATTGTGATTGCAGGTCAGCGATTGACAAATGCCATCAAGAGAATGCAAATGTGAAGATGAATCGACACTTGAAAGTGCGACATAAATCCTTGAGATATAAGATGAAAAACCATATAATAGCCTTAGATTTTGTAAGATCAGAGAAAAATCTTGCAGATCACTTAACTAAAGGCTTATCTAGGGCAGTGGTCCTAGAATCATCGAGGGGGATGGGGTTAAGCCCATAAGAAAAATCACTGCAGTGGCAACCCAACCTCGCAGAGGTTCAATGGGTAGAAACAAACTGAATGAGTGATTAATTGTGAGGAGCACTGAATTTATTTGCTCCCATCCCTAGGATGATCAGTGCTCATAAAAAGCAAGTGAAAGGTTGAGTCTAACTCTTAATGAATCCAAGACCCATGAGGCAGGATGCTTACTTGCTCGCATCCTTATTAGGATTCACCTATATGTGTGTAGTTGTGAGGCCGCGACTATGGGATCAGGGCTGCTCCCTAGTAACACACATGAAAGATACCTGCGCAAGGCCGATAATAGCGCAACCCGTTTAGAATTCTTCAAAACTGTACTATGTGTGCTTTCTGTAGAAATCCGATAAATGAGACTGGTTCAAGGCGAAGTCCACCAAGCTCTCACGGATCTATACAACTGTCACTAAGTGAAGGTTCAAACCGAAAGGTACCTCCACCTATTACATAGTATAAGGGAACCAGCAATCGTATTTATTTCTTTTATTGTTATTTCTGAACTATTTTAAGTTTTAAGTTATGTGGGGGATTGTTGGAATTATATAATAAAAGATAACTTAAAACTTGACTTTGTAGAGGAAAAGAGGGAAAGTTTAGTCCCACATAGGAAATGGGATAGAAAAAAGGGGTCCTTATAAGCCTTCCCTTTCTCTCCTATGCCTAGAAGAAAACAAAGGTTATGCTCCACACCACACACGCGCGCGCCGGCCGGGCCGGGCTCGGGCTCGGGTTCGGGTCGGGTCGGGTGGCGCGCGCACACGACCTGCGGACACGAATGCAGCTCCGGATTAATGGGCCCTTAATCTGCTACATTTTTATTTTTAAATAATTAAAATATAATTTTTATTTTTGAACAATTAACATGTGATAAATATTTTGTAACCGAAATATTTTGTAACGGAAATTAACCCTATAAAAGGACCAAAGCCCGAATAGTTTTACACAGTGAAAAATCAACAGATCTCTTCTCTCCTTCTCTTTTCAAAATAGTTTTCTGTTTACGCTGGTTCCCTGAAAGTCTAGAAGAATTCGCAAAACCTTCTTGAAGCTCGTGCCGACGAGAAGGAGGTCGCCTGACCGAGGGTCGTTGTATCTCCGGGGACTTTTGCCGCGTAGCCCTGTACGAGAGGGGGCAATTAGTTTCTTGGGACAGTGCTTGCACGCCTCGACCATCAGGCCGTATTTCTAACCCTTATTTCTTTTTGTTTGAATTATTTCTTACATCTGCGTTACAATATTAATCCGTGATTATCTGTTAATTATTAAATTGCTTAAACTGATTTTCGTTATTGTCTAAACAGCTTATATTCCCAACAATAGGGACTGTTAGTTTGCATAAGGGGGAATGAGAACGTCTGCCAAAAGTGTCAGTTATGGTAGGCTTTGTTGCAAAAACACAGACGTTTTTACAAGAAAGACTGCTAAAACTGACACTTTTGACAAACTTTTAACCCATTTCCCCCTCTAAAAGAGGCAACCAAACGCCCCCATATGACACTCATTAATATCTATATATATATATATATATTTATTGAAGTGTTAAAATTTTCCTTCTATCTTTAACAGCGGACAAAGCGCAAAAGTTTCACAAGTAGCATCAACGGTGGAATCAGGTTTCAATAAAATTTAGTGTGAACAGTTTGGAAACAGGCTCAGGCGTTTAGTATTCTGAATTATACTGTAGCAAAAATAGTGTTTACTTTTAAGCCCTCGTGATCAGGGTAGGACCTGTCCCAACAACGTCAACTGCTCACATCAAAAAAAGCCAAAAAGCCCAAAACAAAGTTACCAACTTACCATGAACCAACAACCAGAGCACTAAAGTAAACAAATAGTAGCGCTCCCCCCCCCCCCCCCCCCCCCAATTTAATACTCGCATTAATAATTTCCCATTTCGAATTCCATATAAAACGCGCCAAGAGATCCCAAAAAGCCCGAAATCGAGATTTAGGGTTTTAGAGAGAAAAATACGAAAATGGGGAGCGGCGGCGGTACGTGAACCCGCGGTGCTACATGGACATCAGCATCGGCGGCGAGATGGAGGGCAGGATCGTCATCGAGCTCTTCGCCGACGTCACGCCGAAGACGGCGGAGAATTTTAGGGCTCTTTGCACCGGCGAGAAGGGGATCGGAGCTTGCACCGGAGTCCCTCTTCACTTTAAGGTCGATTCTTTTATTTTATTTTTTAATCGTCTCTTTTTTTTTGTTGTTGTCTTTTGTTTGTTTACTCTGTTGTCCTTTTTGTACTGGGCATTTGCTAGATCGGTGAAGAGATCAGAGAATATTCGGAATCCATGTGTGTTTGTTGTTTTTAATGTTTGTTCGTGGAAAGTTAGGTGTTTTAGTGCTTATAATTATAATATGTGATTTTGTTTCTATAATTTCCTGTTACAGAAAAATTAGATTATTTCCCCTCGTCTATATCAAAAGTGCCTGCATATTGCAGTTCATTATTTGATTCCAAGCCAAAGATGAAATCTTTGGAGAAGTTTTGAGTGATTTGAAAAGGATGTATTAGGGGTGAAATATGAGTAGCGTTGGATGATCAATTTTGGGGACAGCACGGAACAAGAGAAACTTAGATCAGGATATTCTTTAAAATAATAGATAAAAAATTTATGATTTGTTTTTAACATTGTTGTAGATGAAACCTGAGTCAGAATCTAAAGTTGGCAGAAGAGGAACTTCAGGTCGTGAGTTTTAAACCTTGGGAGTATAAGATGGATTGATTTTCAAAAGTTTATGTTGAATTATGAAATAGAAACTGTTAGTTATGTCTGGTGAAATTTCGTACTCTACAACTATCTCTAATGGGGGGCATACAAAGAAAACTGTTTCACAGATACAAGATTCAGTAATCAGACTTATTGATTAGACATACATCCTTCTTGCTCTCTCCTCTCTTGTTTTTCTCTTTTCCTTTTGACAACTGCTAGCCATTTTTTATTGGTTCTGCACTTTGTTCTTTTTGAGAGGATGAAATAGACAAGAAAGGAGGATAGAGAACTTCTAGAGTGATTGTAGTTTAAAAAGCTCCCTAGAAACACCATATGAGGTTGATGTTAGTTTCATGAGATCCGCCAATATATGCTTTTGGCTGATAGTATTTAGGTTTTTTATATGGGCCAGTATACAACAACTATAAACGCCAAACTTCACTGTCCTTGCCCACACTCGAAGAGTTTCCTTTCTTATCTACTAGTCAATACAGAAACTAAATGTTAATTTTGCATTGACACCAATGTTAGGCATATGTTTCAAATTCCTATGGCACTTTTTTTTTGAACAGCAACAAAGTTATATGGCTTTAGAACTGTTACAACTGTAATTACTACAAAATTTTCTGCTTCTCGGCTTTTTACCAGAAACCTAGACTTCTTCTTAATGTTGTCACATGGTCTTCTGGTTGCAGGGCTCTCGATTTCATCGTGTTATTAAAGGCTTCATGTTACAAGGTGGAGACATATCTGCAGGCGATGGAACTGGAGGAGAGTCCATATATGGATCAAAGTTTGAGGATGAGAATTTTGAAATTAAACATGAGAAGAAAGGAATGCTGTCGATGGCTAATTCTGGTCCTGACTCAAATGGGTCTCAGTTCTTCATTACTACTACTCGAACCCCTCATTTAGATGGAAAACATGTTGTATTTGGGAAGGTGCTGAAAGGTATGGGAGTTGTTAGGTCAATTGAGCATACACCTGTTGGAGATGGTGATTGTCCCTCTGTCGATGTTATAATTGCGGAATGTGGGGAACTTCCTGAAGGGAGCGATGATGGAGTTGTTAATTTCTTCAAAGACGGTGACATGATTCCAGACTGGCCTGGTGACCTTGAAGTAAAGCCAAAAGATGTAGCATGGTGGATGAATGCTGCTGACTCTGCTAAAGCGTTTGGAAATACATGCTTCATGGTATGTTTTGTTTGGTTTTATGCTTTATTTTCTTATCTTTTATTTTTTACTTGTGATGTATTTTTGTACCTTTTGTTTCCTTTTGCCATTGGATTTTGTTGGGTTTATTAAAAATTGACTACTTGATTTGTTTATAAAGTTATACCCCAAGTTACCACCCAAATTGAAAAGTCGCACATCAAATTGGCAATACAATAGAATAATAAACCTCACCAGTGAAGTCCTTGCACTGGGCATCAGCAACATACCAAAAACCCCTCCAAGTCTTTCTTTTGATTGATTAATATTAAATGTCCCAAACAGCTAAGAAAATTGCTGATTAATTCATGATTGTTCTCTGCAGAAACAAGACTACAAGATGGCCCTTAGAAAATATCGAAAGGCTTTGCGGTACTTGGATATTTGTTGGGATCAAGAAGAGATTGATGAAGGCAATGATTTTTCTTAAGTGTTGTCTTTGTCTTGTTAATTCCGACACCTGTTATCATCTGGTGGAGTTCTGGTTTTCTTTTCCTTCTGTTTC